CTGTTCTCGGGCAGAGCGTTCTGAAGTGCCCCTCATGCTGGCGTGGGAGGGAGAGGGTGATGGTGGGTTGTGGTGGGGGCTGTGGTGCGGATGCTGCAGCTGCTGCTGCTGCTGCTGCTGTTGGTACTTGCTCTTCAGGTGATCCATGAAGGCGTCTCTTTTACGTTCCATGTCGGCCTTGTGCAAGTTGGTCAGGGCCTCCAGGCTCTGGGCGGCGGTGACAGTGTGCCGGTGCTCAGACGTGTGCACCAGGCCAACATTGGAGAACCGCCGAGCGCTGTTCCCCAGCGTCCGGTACTCTCGCGGATACTCCAAGTCATCTGTCGAGATCATGTGACTGCCACCGCGCTCGGGATCTGAAGTGAAAGGACAGGAGGGTGGAAGGAGGAGGATAAGGAAAGTGCAGAAAAGGGGAGGAAGAAGGGTGGAGAGTGCAGGAGAAGAGGTGAATCTCCATCCACATCAGCGTTCAGAGAGATTTTCAGGGTGGAGACAAACGTACACACAGCAGGCACACATAGGTGGAAACAAATGAAGCAGAGAGAAGCAGAGCGGGAAATTCAGCAGGACAGGGGTGGACAGGAGAAAGAGAGGGAGGGAGGGAGAGAGAGAGAGAGAGAGAGAGAGAGAGAGAGAGAGGAATGGGATGGGGTGTTAGACTATTTGCCACCAGGACAGAGCAGTTCCTTGCAGAATTATTGATTTCAAGTTCTGAGGGGAAGAAAAATGAGGAAAGTAAAGGGCTTCTGCAATAGATCAAAGGAAATGACTCAAACAGAATTTGTTTAGCAGGAAATGCCTTTGTGATACACCTGCTTCATTAAGTGGCTTTCATCTTAGAAACAAGGAAAACAAAATGTTTCATATCAAAAGCAAACGCACGGCCAAGACACTTTTATTCTCATCATTTGTGTCATTACCCTGTTTTGCTACTTCTACCAACTCGTGCCCATCATTCCCTTCATCTCTCGACGCCCTTTCCTCACATGTTCCCACCGTCTCTCATTGTTCCCTCTGTTCATTTAAAGGACTCTCATCACTCTGACAGCACTTGGCCTTTTATCTCTCCTCTATCTGACAGACAGCCCAAACCCAAGGTGGAAGACACACAGGAAGGGAACAAAGACAGCCGGAAGGAGACGATACGGTTACACATGAAACACGTGACTGGATTAACAATGAGCTGAAGATGGGATTAAAAAAAAAGACAGGGAGCCATCCGCTTTGGTGAGTTACCTTGCTTAGGGAAACAGGCCCCGGCGTTGGCTAAAAGAGAAACATGCGGAGGGTTAATGTGTGTGTTTGTGCACAGACGTGCAAGCAAACACAACAGATCTGTCACATGACAATCTGGAAAGAGCTATCGTGTCCCGATAGCTCTTTCCATGGATCACCAGAAGTTAATGCATCACATATGCATTATAATGGACTCATAGGAGTTAACATGTGGGAAATGGTTTGCTGGGAATGCTGTTTGTGTCTTACAATAACAACACAAAGAGTCAGAGAATAAAACACTAGCAAACTTCAGACAAACAACTCAGGAGTTGGTGGGAGACCCTTTTTAGAACGAAGTGGACCCCAAGTCCATCAAATTCTCATCAGCAGCATTAAGATGAGGAGGGCGCGAGAAGCGCTGAGGGTGGACTCTCGCAGCAGAAGCAACAACCAGACTGTTAATGAACACAGCAGTGAAGAGGAAGTTTGGCTCAGAGAGGACAAAACTCGACACCCAGGAATCACGTTAAGGGCAGAAGATCAGCCATCATTCTAACATGGCTACAAACCGTGAGCTCACTTTGGACTCACTTTAAATCCGCCCTCAGAGAGAGATAGCACTCTGAAGGGCGATGTGCTGTTTTACCGTCCTGCCCTTACATCCTTCACTTTATGAAGCGCTGATAAACTCAGCCAGGGTGAGACCTCCTGTCTAATAACATTAGCACTGGATCCTCCACTGCAGCACAGACGCTGCTGGTCGTGTTCATCTCAGCCTCCCTCCTATCTGTTTTACACTTCATTAGACTGGAGCTTATTGTGCATCAACTAACAAGGACCCGACTCAAGGGTCTGATTGCTGCAGTGAGAGATGTTGGGCCTGTGTGTTATAGCTGCTTAATGTGACTGAGCAAAGGAGGAAAACGCTGAGGAAGCTTCTTTTCTATGTGGACCATGGACGTAATTCTGGGGGGGGGGGGGGGGGGGGCGGGGGGGGGACACATAGCCCCCCCCCCCACTTTTTCCAAAGTCAAGTTTTGATCCCTGCACTTTTTACCATCCAAAAACAATATTACGCTATATTAAATTGACACTGGTTGAGCTCTAGGACCAAGCGGAAAACAACCGTTTGTGTTGAAACCTGTTTCCCATTAGAGCATTCTGTAAAGATACCCCCCCACTTCCAAAGTAAAAATTACGTCCATGATGTGGACAAACATCATACTGAGCTACTCCCTAAAAGAGCAGAGTGGGTGACGTGGAGTAAGAACTAAACGTTGTGTTAATAAAGGATTTTGTTAGCTTATACATTCAAAAGGGTTTATTTAAGCATCACATTGGCTTAAATAAATAATAAATATTTCATTACATTTAAGATACGCCTCCCCAACACACACACACACACACACACACACACACACACACACACACACACACGCACGCACGCACGCACGCACACACACACACACACACACACACACACACACACACACACACCTTCAATCTCCAAACCAAGAACATAAGCTAGAACATTTAAATTTTCACTCATGATTTTTTGCTGCAGGACGATCCAGGGGCTGGCCCCGGGGTGTGTTCCACCAACTGGCTGCTGGTTAAAGTTAAAAGCGGTTCTGGTGAAGGAGAAACGCGTCAAATTAAAACTGCAGCAGACATCAGGTGTGTGTGTCTTCACCATGGTCCACTACTATCACTGATATGTCAACTGAGTGTCTGAAAACAAGCTTTCAATCACTGACTTGTTCTTCTATTCTTTGCCATTAGGAGAGCTCTGTAACGCCCACGTTCTCTTTCAGGGCTAATAAATGTTGAATGTTGGTAAGAAAATTAGAAAATCATGACAAAGTTAATTTATTTCAGTAATTACATTCAAAAAGTGAAACGTGTATATTAGATTCATTCATTACACACAGACTGATATATTTCAACTGTTTATTTATTTAATTTGATTATTATAACCTACAAATAATGAAAATCCCACATTCAGTATCCCAGAATATTAGAATAGTGTGAAAAAGTTCAGTATTGAAGACCACTGGTGCCACACTCCAATCAGCTAATTAACTCAAAAGACTGTGTGTTATAGCTGCTTAATGTGTATGAGCAAAGGAGGAAAACGCTGAGGACGCTTCTTGTCCTGTGGACAAACATCATACTGAGCTACTCCCTAAAAGAGCACAGCGGGTGACGTGACCTGTGAAAGCCTTTAAATGGTCTCTCAGTCTAGTTCTGTAGGCTACACAACCATGGGGAGGACTGCTGACTTGACAGTTGCCTAAAAGACGACCGTTGACATCTTACACAAGGAGGGCAACACCCAAAAGGTCATAGCTAAAGAGGCTGGCTGAGAAAGAGACTGGGCAAAAATGGCCTGCATGGCAGATTTCCAAGACGCAAACCACTGTTAAGCAAAAAGAACATTAGGGCTCGTCTCAGTTTTGCTAAGAAACATCTCAATGATTGCCAAGACTTTTGGGAAAATACCTTGTGGACTGATGAGACAAAAGTTGAACTTTTTGGAAGGCAAATGTCTCGTTACATCTGGCGTAGAAGTAACACAGCATTCAGACAAAGAACATCACACCAACAGTAAAATATGGTGGTGGTAGTGTGATGGTCTGGAGTTGTTTTGCTGCTTCAGGAACTGGAAGGCTTGCTGTGATAAATGGAACCATGAATTCTACTGTCTACCAAAACATCCTGAAGGAGAATGTCCGGCTATCTGTTCGTCAACTAAAGCTGAAGCCATCTTGGCTGCTGCAGCAGGACAATGACCCAAAACACACCAGCAAATCCACCTCTGAATGGCTGAAGAACAACAAAATGAAGACTTTGGAGTGGCCTAGTCAAAGTCCTGACCTGAATCCTACTGAGATGCTATGGCATGACCTTTAAAAAGGCGGTTCATGCTAGAAAACCCTCAAATAAAGCTGAATTACAACAATTCTGCAAAAATGAGTGGGCCAAAATCCCTCCAGAGCACTGTAAAAGACTTGCAGCAAGTTATCGCAACCGCTTGATTGCAGTTATTGCTGCTAAGGGAGGTCCAACCAGTTATTAGGTTCCAGGGGCAATTACTTTTTCTTTTTTTTTTTTTTTTTTTTTTTTTCCCATGTCCTGTCTGGCTGTGAAGCAGGCAGAATTGATGTCTGAATGCTGGTGACAAGCCTTACAGATTTATTCTCAGGTGGAGCATCAAAGCGTTTGCTTTTAACCCTTTGATGCATGAATTATGAAATCTTCAACCATGATTTTTTAACAATTTTTTTGAATCATATTTAGGTGTGAATGAAACAAATTTCAACAAATATTTTTTGTAAAATTTTATAATTTACAAATAGTTTATTACATGTCCACTTCAGTGGACAGCGTGCGTTCTGATCATGAAATATGTTGGCTTGACTTACTGAAGTCCAAATGGAGGGGCTCACATGCAATAAAGTCTTCAACAGCTGTGCTAGCAAAAACAAATAAATAACATTTTTGAGTACCTGTCCACTGTAGCGACCGTTATGCACCAAAGGGTTAATGTCACACCTGATACTTAAAACTTTATTGTTATTGTTGTTGAATGCTTTGTAATTCCGACCAGACACGGAGACAGAGGTGAAAGAGAAAGGAAGAGAAAAGGTGGAGAGAGAGGAGGGGGGGGGGGGGTGTTCCACAAAAATAAACAATGAACAAGAGTCTGCTTCTAAACCTGCAGAAAAAGACAAAAAAAACAAAAGGACACAAAAAAGGGACACAACAACAATACAACAAGATCTACCTATCACTGCGTCAACTTGATGAAAAAAAAAACAATATATATATATATATATATATATATATATATATATATATAATCAACATTGCTTAACTGAAGAATCACGATAATAAATCACAATGCATTAAGTGCCCCCCATAGTCTTAAGACATGTGTTGAACGTGCCCAAGCCCATACTTTTGAGAGCACCATGTGAGCACCTGTGTGTGTACATGCGCTTGTTTATTTAAGGTTTCTCTATAGGAGCGTCCAACAGAGAGTGTGAGGGACCACAGATCCACCCCCCAAAGATGCGCAGGAGACGGGGGGAGCTCCAAGTCCCAGAGATCCAGGCGTTGCCCCAGAATGCAGGAACCCCAAGGAGACTGCAACCAGAAAGGCCCCCGCCCCCCCTCGAGAGGCACAGAGGATCGCCCCGGGGGGCCACAACCAGCAGCCGGCAGAGTCCCTGGAGATATCAGCGGCAAGCCCACAGGCCCGCCCGCAGCCTCCCACCCCCTAGCCGGCCGAGCCCGGGACCCAGCGATCCGGGACCCAGAGGTGACCACCCCCGCTGGGGACCCAGCAGAGCCCAGGGACCCAGACCCCACCAGGCAGCCACCGGGATCTATCAGGCAGATGCCAAAATCTTAAACCCCCAGACCCGGTTGCCACGAACACTCAGGCAGACTAGGGGTCTTAGCCACCTCTGTTGTCACTAGGCTTCCTGGGGCTGGAGGCTAGGAGGGAGATCTGGCCGTCTGGTTGGGGTCTGGGGTGGTGGGTTGCTGTGCTCAGCGTTGGGCGGGGGAGCCTGCTCATCAGCACCCCAGCAGAAAGGGTCAAACTCTGGTTACCGGTGATGGTTGTACCCCATGTGCAGCAGTACCGGGACCAGAGTTAATAGGGTGTGTATGGGGAGCATGAGTGAGTGTCCGGCGTGCATTTTTGTAAGTCTTGGGTTGTATGTGCATGTGTGAGCATGAGGGAGGGTGTGTGTGACTGTGTTTGTGTATGACTGTATATGTCAGGTGGGGCCTTAGGGTCCTCCCCTCTCCTGGGCAATTACTTTTTCACACAGGGTAATGTAGGTTTGGATTTTGTTCTCTCCCTAAATAACAAAAACCATCATTTCAACACTGCATTTTGTGTTTACTTGTGTTGTCTTTGACTAATGGTTAAATGTGTTTGATGATCAGAAACATTTTGTGTGACAAACATGCAAAAGAATAAGAAATCAGAAAGAGGGCAAATAGTTTTTCACACCACTGTATCAGTCTGCATG